TGGGGGCAATATGCTGACTCTGTAAACCGCTTAGAGAGGGCTGAAAGCCCTATGAAGCGGTATATAAGTCTAACCGCTATTGCTACTGTACTGTATCTTTTTACTGCCATCTACAGACGGGGCAGTGTTTCACACAACTCATCTGTTGGCCCTAACCATGTATTTTGTAAATGTTCTTTCCATGGGCAGTATTCTGTGAGCACCCAGACATGCTCACAAAATTCCAAATGGGTTTACAGATTTAAAATGTTTGTGTGCCCTTTATTAACAAATGTGTGGTTGTGGGTGGGTGTCTAAATCATGATTATTAAAGGTTTCCAGATCTATCAAAACAAGGACAGATTAAAAGACAGTTATCAGGATGCTGCTTTAATAGTATTTGGCTATCAGTGTTCATGTGAAAAAAAATTCTCTCTCTCAATATATATTTATGTGCCTCTGTGAAAAATAGTTGTGCCCAGGATAAGTTAGATTTCCCCCCAAAAAAATCTAATTTTAAAGGGCAATTAAAATATATTTTAAATACACATATTTTTTCCTGAATTATCTGCAAACATACTCTTGCCATTTTTAGATTTTTTAAATATTATATTTCTATATTTTTGTATTTAAAAGATTCAACAATGGATGGATGTTTAAAATCGGAAGAGGCCTTGATTATTTTAAAAAACCACAGGTAAGGGATTTTGTTTTTGTTTTCTTTTTTAAAAAAGAGTTCCTGAATTTTTTGCTAAGAAAAAAACACTTTTTATAGGGTCGTTTTTGCCTTGGATATTGTGATTTTGATTTGAGGCCTTGTCATGAAACTACTGTGGACATCTTTCACAATAACTACACAAAGAAGACGATTCCTTCTGAAACCACTCCTGTTTCCTAGGTAAAATCCTTGTCAAGGTGTATATTTAATATGCTTTTTAATAAAATAAATTGTTGTTTAAGCAAAAAAATACGTTTATCTCAAGATACCCTTAAAAGAGGCTTCGACTGTTAAATTTTGCTTAAAGGAAAATCACCTTAATCACCTTACCTTAATTAACATCAGGTAAAATATTGGAAGAATAATTAAATTAAAACCAACTACTGAATATATTTTAAAAATGCAATGACTGGAGTCACTACTTCAAACAAATAGCTAAAATAAACCTAAGATACAGGTTCGTTCAAAGTTATGACTGAATGAATAGTTTTCTCATAGTTTAGCTGTTGCATTGTCCCCAGTCATGACTGCCATTTGGATATTTACTTGATGTCCTGCTTGGGATTATGTTGTTTCCGGGACTGTGGTCATGTGATTGTGATTTCCAATATTCCCTGCCAACTTCCCACAAACAAAAGCTGGGAAAACTGGCTGGAAGTCAGTCATGTGAGCTGCTTGTTTAATGATCATTTGATGTAGCCCTGCAAAACTTCTGTCCCACTTTATGAGTGCATCACTTAGCAATAGCAATTCCAGTCAATTGTTATCATAAGCCAAGGACTTTTGAATTTAGCAGTCTAAAAACAGAGCTAGCTACAATTGCCTCAAGCTATATGAAGTATTGTATATATATAGAGAAAAGGTGCCTGCCAAATTCGTTGAACATTAAATGGTGCTGAATGGAGAGGATTTTTGGACAGTTACACAGCAGTCACTTAGGTCACATAGCATGCTGATGTATTTTGAATGGAGTCCACCTGCTTTTTGCTTTTTTCAAACTACAAAAACCATGCCACTACCACACACACATATGTTCAATCAGGATGGAAGAAAAAGATGCCATGGCCATCCAGCTGAGCTATGTATTTTGCTGCGAGCTTAATAGTGAACCACATCCTCTGAACTTTCAAAATATTGTACATGCTTGCAATTTTCAGCTCATATGTCATCTATGGGTTCTTTAAAGAACTTTACTAGTCCTGATGTGCCATTTCTAAAACCTGCTTTGTAACATGGCCGTGTTGTAATTAGTTTTTTTTTCTCCTCAGAATCTACCCCCGTTTTTATTCCAATAAAATTATTAGGTGATAGTGATATTTTGGAATCAAATAAATGATAAACATCTGATCCAATATGTCATGGAAATTTTAAACAATTTCATTACTTGAAATCTTGTCCTTTTGAATGTTACTGGGTATAGGTGTTTTTTTATAATATTGTATTATTAAAGTTATTATTTGTATACCTTGTCATTTTTTAATTTTTGTCAATAAATTTGGATTAATCAAAAGTAAGAATATAAAACTGTTGGAATAAAGGCTTGTTTTTAAAAAATGTACTTTTCACCCGATACAGATCTTCTGTTCTTACTAGAATGGTGAAGTAAGAACTGGTGAAAAGTAATTTAAAAGAAAAGAAACCAAATGACCTTTCACAAGGTTGCTAACATGTTATTTATTTATTAATTTATTTGCCGCCTATTTCACATTGAGTCAACTCTTATCCAGCACAGAAGACAGGCAGAACAAATAATCTTTTAAATTTTGTTGATTATAACTGGAGTAATGTTTCAATGTCAATTCAAATATGGCTATAATTTGGGTGTTTGGACCAGTAATATATTGAATTTGAAAATGGCTATTAGTTATAGTTTTTCCTCCACATTTTTGCTCACCCAAGTGTATTATTATTATTTATTATTATTATTATTATTATTATTATTATTATTATTATTATTATTATTATTGCATTCCATTAAATGCATTCCAAGTTCCATTAAACTCAGTGGAGTTTGAGAAGATAGATAACGACTGCAATATCAATTAACTACTTCCCTTAAAAAGGAATTTTATATTCAAGTGTTATTTTTGTTCAGTAGTTATATGTAACATTAAATTTACATTCATTGAACTCTTCTAAAATCATACATGGCATGTATTAGCAAACTACTAATCTGATACCTAAGAATCCAGCTAATCATATAAATTACATTAATGTTATTATCTTCTCACATAAGATATGCAATTTGCTGTGTAATGTAGAATTTGCCCACATTCTTAGCAAAGCAGTTGTCACGGCAGTGTTTTCATTTGGGCAAAACCTATTGCCAATTAGGCTGTTCCTGAGTTCAACACACACATCCAGTGGCAGCCAGTTCTGAGGGACATCTATTTGGCAAGTTTCAATGTTACCATTCTTTATATCCATACTTATCTGAATTTCAACATTGGATTCCTCATGTCCTATATTAAAGGATGTGCTGATTTTGAACTTTGGTGTTTTTCCATATAGCCAATTCCAGGCTTTTAGTTCTATGGCTGTGTTGTTAATCCCAGGGAATTCTGTTTCATCGGCTGGATTTATAACATGGATATGGTTTTCAATGTGATGATGTGAAGCGTATTCGCCAGCAATGGCTTCCATAAGCATTTCACAAGTTAATGTGGGATCTTCTTCATAGAGATTTCTCACTAATGCAGGCACACTTGGTGTGGCATTACTTTGGATTCCACTATTAGGAGTCTTTAACGCAGATGTTAGAACCAATTTATCAGTACTGTATAACAAAGTGCAGTGGTGATAAGCAGCTGTTCTTCCTAATTTCGCAGCAGTTCCTGAAATTTTAAAGGTTTTGTTTAACAAGAGATCATATCTCTCAGTAGCATGAACATCTAGCTGGGGTCGCAGGGACTTCAAAGCTTTAACAACGAGTTTTAAATTTTCAATTCTTTCATATTTTTTTCTGTCAGTGAAAAAAGTTAGATTAATGTTGCCTTTGTCATGGTAAACTGCACCTCCTCCACTTCTTCTTCGAGCAAGTTTTATACCCTTCTGCCTCATGATTCCAAGGTTACATTCCTGCCAGGGATTCTGATGTCGACCAATCACTACAGCAGAAGAATTTCTCCAGAGGAGAAGAACGTGCCTCTTCTCTAAATCCATGTTATCATGGATCCAATCCTCTAATGCTAAATTCTGGTAGACATCCTGAGACACAGACTGTAGGATAAGCCCTCTTTCCTTTGTGCTTTTGAAGCCAGCAGCTGGAACTTTGAGGACACAATATAATGGGAAACATTTCTTCCATGAGAACTGTATTATCATGTTTTAAGGAAATAAAATAAGCATCAAAAGCACTGAAAGTTTTGGCACTATTCAGAATCTTTCAAACCATTGGTTCAATGTGGTGAGCTTTTTTCTTTTCAAAAGCACTGAAAGCAGTTTTAGATTATTTTAATAAAACATTGCTCCTTTTGGTAGCTCCAACCGTTCAATCAGTGAATTTGTAAGATACTCCTTGTTCAATCGCCGATAACCTATTGGGAAAATAATTATTGAAGTTATATCTAACATGTCTCAGCAGTACATACACAAATATCTTCCCGCATCCTTGGTAGGATTAAAATATTAAAACATCTACAAAGTATGACCAACAAAAATAAACTAAATCATAGCACAAATGACTAATATCTAGTATAACAATAAAAAATAGAAAAATAAAACAGTAACTGACATAATAGGTAAGCATCACTGAAACATTCTAAAAAGCTCAGGTTTTGGTTTATTGTTTTATTTATTTATAATATTTTATGGCCATGCATCTGAAAGCCTCAACAACAAATTCATGAAAATAAAGACTAAAATCTGATGCCTCATTTATCCTCCAATAAACTTTAAGAACTTTCTGAAACTCACCCAGGAGGCTAGTTTGATCTTTACAGGAAGATCATTCCCCAACAATGACATTACCGCTGAGAAACAGTGCCTTCCAGCTTCAGTTCTCACCTTTCAAAAGTGTGAGACCCCAAGGAGTTTCTCTTTAGCATATCAGGCTCATACAGGCTTGAAAAGACAGTCCTGATATTGTCAGATTAATATCTTTTAAAAGTTACTAATGCAACTGCTTTGGGGATGATATAGGAAACTATGAGCCTATTTCCTGACAGTTACGGTTCATCATTCAAATCTGGAGATAATTATGTCTGCAGAGTGCTCTGCAGACAAACAAGTCGCGATACGTTGAGATACGCTGCAACCTAATGAATTCTTAAGGGAACCCCAAATAGAAAATGTTGCTTCCCTAACCCGCTCCATTCTTTTAAAAGTCCCATAATCCATAGTGTATGAAAAGATTGAGCGAAGATAATGGGCACTGTAGTACAAATACGTCTCATGGACAGTTACCGGGCTGGAGGTGGGGGGAAACTTCGTCAAACAAGCCGAAAGGCAGGAATAACGTGATTGCAACAGTAGTCAGCGGAAAACTCTTGGCGAACAATCCTATCGAGACATCTAAAAGCGCCTTTTCCCCATTTACAGGACTGCTGCGCCAGGGCACGACGGAGCGCAGTTTAGGCACCAGAGAAAGCGGGGCTGCAGACCCATGAAGCTGTATAAAGGATATGCTTGCGAGCTGCAACGTTCGCCAGACACCCCCCTCCCTTGTTTTTCGGAGAAGGGCAAACGAAATATTTACCTGCTTCTCTAGACGGATTGCTATTGCCATTGCTGGAACTTTTTGCCCTCGTTGGAACCGCGCGCGAGATTCAGAGTCAAGACGCTGGCTTCCAGACAGAAAAGGATACGCACATTTTTACGTAGAGACAAAGTTATAGAGAACCATTCGTCCCATTGTTGGTAGAGAACCTCTCATCCCATTGATTGGACTCGAAACATCCCGTTTGCTTAAGACTCTCTCCCGTTCTTGTTTGGAGGAAAGGACAACGACCCCTGAAAAGGGATTGCTGTGTTGCGGAAAGAAGAGTAACTGATTTAGAGCTAGCAAAACAACAGCTTTTTAAAGATCACTCTTGAAGAGGATGCGGTTATTCCTATCCTTTGCAAACCGAACCGGGGGGCGGGGTAGATTGACCGGTTACATAGTACTTTACAAAGCTATAGCAGATTTCTGTCATTTTTATCGATAATCCGCTGTTCCAGGATATTAAAGGAACTCGAAAGTCGATGAGTAGTGTTACTCTTCTTTGTATTTTTCTCAGATAGTGTGCTTTAAGAAGTACTTCCGTGTTTGGAGTTACTCTTATCAAAGCCCTTCCGTTTGGGGATAAAATTAGAAAGTGTATTGATTTCCCCTTTCTCCTTCCCATGTGTTATGCTCAGGTGGTTTGAACTGGGGTTGTAATTGCAGAAACTTGCTTTCGCTTTTTAAACTGATTACAACACAAATTGCAAGAAAAGTGTAAAAGTAAATTCTCAATTTTATAAAACGATACCGTTCATAAGTAAATACAACCGTGTATAGTAGTGTGTTATCACACAGCCCTCCCAGAAAAATGAAATATTGAAAAGGCAGAATATTACATTCCCCTGGATGTGAAAAGGAAGAAACATGTTTTATAAAGACAGAATAGCTCCCTGCCCCCCCTTTTGTCAATGGGCCATTAAGATGTCCAAGCCAGTCCTTTTACATAATAGAGTTCTCCCCTTCACCTCCAGAGTGATGGGATTAAGGCATGACATCACCGCATGGCATCTGAGAACTCAACCAAACCTGGATTCAAAACACAGCCTAGAGAATTGCCCCTGCATGGCCCCATGGGAATCTGACAGCCAATCAGAATACAAGCTCAAGATCAAAGGCCAGAGATGGCATAAAACCAGGGTCTTTCAGCATCTCAGCCCTTCCTTCTCTTCTTCTCCACCCAACATTGAAGCATGTGATCACCTTTTCTGTTCAGGACTCAAGCCATGTGGTCCTGTCCACCATTAAACCATCTTTCCCAGCAGCCTCCATGTCTCCAGTGTCTTTTTCCCCATTTGGAGCCAAACCCAGGAGGACATTTCTTTCAACAGTAGAATTTACTCAGTTAAATAGGTAGATATGCCCCCCTCCCCCTTTAATTGTGTCCTATTCTCGGAGACTGCCTGGACAAGCCCTTGCAGTTTCTTGGCAAGGTTTTTTTTTCCAGAAATGGTTCCCCATTGCCTCTTTCCTAGGGCTGGGGAAAAAAATTCAGCCCAAGGTTTGTGCTTAAGGCGGAACTAGATTTCAATCTCCCAGTTTCTAGCTTGATGACTTAACCGCTCACTAAATTAGCTCTAATATATGCTTTTACTGAATGGCTAAATGTATTTTGAATGTAAGTTCCATGTTCTCCATACTCCTGGTAAAACTTAATTACAGCCCCATTGGCATCAACAGGATTGGAAATGCAGAAAAACAGAGTTGGAAGGGATTTTAGAGGTATTCTAGTTCAATTCCTTGCTTAAGTAGGAGACCCTATATACCAATTTCAAGCAGATAGCTTATCCAATCTCTTCTTAAAAACCTCCAGTGTTGGAGCATCCACAACTTGGAGGCAAGTTGTTTCATTGATTAATTGTTCTGCCAAGAAATTTCTCCTTAGTTCTGGGTTGCTTCTCTCCTTAATTAGTTTCCATCCATTGCTTCTTGTCCTGCCTTCTGGTGCTTTTGAGAATAGGTTGATGCCCTATTCTTTGGGGTAGCTCCTTAGATATTGGAATACTGCTATCATTTTACATATCACTCAAGAATGACATTATACCCTAAATTGTCAATATATTGTAGCAATGAAATGAAGTACAAAACAATGTACGCCACACAATGGAATACATCCATAAAAACAAAAGCCAAATGACACTGCAGATTTCAAGAAAGGCAGACAATAGAGTACATGAGGTTGATTAGCTAACATAAAGATGCATAATAGAGATATCAAAATATGAGATTTACTTTTCTTGTATTGACATGCAAGAATGGAACGAACATGTTAAAGCTAACAGGTGTCCAAAACTCCATTATGGGGAACCTGGACAGTGAACTGAAAGAACTGAAGATAGAGCTGGAATCAAAATATTTTCTATTCTTTTATTTTTACATTAAAAATTTTAATATAAACTTTTAAATTACATATCTTGGTACTTCGATTATAGTAGGATATAAATGTAATAAATACAAAGGGAGTCAAAACTATTTGAGATAGTCCACTTTGTTAGCAGATATGAAATGGAAAATAATGGAGATAGAAGAATTCGTTAGCAAAGCTATATGAAAATTAAAACTTGGATTAATGCAAAATATTGGGACAAAGATACGGTAATAGTAATCAAAATGCTTAGTTTTATTGGACTGAGAAATAATTACAATAAAATAACAATAAAGTTAAATTTGTATACTGCTTGGTTCCCAACAAATCTGGGCAGCTCATGACAATCGAAGAAATTGCAGTGAATTAATAAAAATAGAAGAATTATTTGGAGAATAAAGAGATTGCAATAGTAATTTAAGAGCTGAAGCAGAGGGTTGTTGCCGTTGCTGAAAAGATTAAAAGATGTGTTGTCCCAATTGTAATTGGAGCTCTTGGAGCAATACCCAAAGGGCTACCTCGCTATTTGGAAAATTTAAATTTATCAGACTTGAACATTCTGATTCTACAAAAAACCACCCTACTTGGAACACCTTATATCCTTCGACGTTACTTGGCAGTTCCTAGGTCCTTGGTTAGGACTCGAGCTGTTGAGCTACTAACCAGCCCCAAAGGCTGTGAATCTCACCAAAGCTTAACCACATAATAAAAATAATAATAACAGCAACAACAACAATAATAATTGGTTACTAGCCGGGCCCCTGGGTGGGGCCCGACTAGTAACCAATGCCAAATCCGGCGAAACAACTGGCCGCTGTGATACAATTGTATAATAATAATAATAATAA